CCGCGCAACTCGGGCCGCGGCGCTCAGACACCCGGCCTGGCTCCCGAGGGCGCCAGCGCGGCCCCGGGGAGCGCGAGGAGTCGGCGAGCGCGCGGCCTGCCGTTGGCGGCCTGGTCCGCGGCGCTCAGCGCCCACCCGCTCCAAAGGTGGGGCCCAAGCCCCCGGGAAGATGGTGTCCTGGATAATCTCCAGAGCCGTGGTGTAAGTGCCGCTCACGACGCCCCGCAGCCTGTGCGAGGTTCTGGGGAGGGGTGAGGAGCGGAGGGGGCTGGGAGGAAAGGGAAGCCTGGGCCTACGCAGGGGTGGGGTAGCCCGGCTTCGGGCCCTCGGCCTTCTCACCCGATCCACGTCGCTGCGGGGTCCCTGCGGCGAGCGAGGACCCGGTTGCGGCTGCGGCTGCGGCTGCGGCGCGGCGCGGCTCGGCTCTGCTGCGTGCGGCTCCGCGCCCCTGCTCCAGCGGCGCTGGGTGGGCAGGCGCGCAGGGCAGGCGGCGCGCGCTCCCCGCTCCTGCTCCCGGCGCTGCGCGGCACCGCCCTGCGGGCCCCGGAGCGGCGCGCCTCCCGGCGGCGCCCTGCGCAGGCTCCGCAGACGCCGAGCGCAGGAGGCTACGCGATCCTCCCGAGGTTGAGGCGGCAATGCCGAGCCTTTGCAAACCGGGGGCTGACGGTTTGCGGTGTCTTTCTTGGCGACTGATTGCCATTTGGTCACGTGTGGTAGGAGGAGAGATTTACCCAAAAACCGGAGACTGCTCCCAGCTCAGGATTCCTCAGAAGGGTCTCAGTTGTCCCAAGATTTGCAGCTTACCGAGAAAAGAGCCTATTATTGAAAGCTGACAGCCACCTGCTAGCCCAGATACCCGAGTTTGGCCCTGTCTTGGCGGAAATATCTGTTAAGTGATTGAAAGGCTGTAGTTGTCTGTTGCCTTTGTTCCAAGTATTAGTTCGTTGTTTTTACCAACAAGTACTACAGGTCTGTAAAAACAGATTCTTTGAGTTGTGGTGTTAACTCTATAAAGGTATTTGAATACAGTTTAAACTGATTTTCTCTCATCCTCCCCATCGTACTCGTTTCTCCTTAAAAAAGAAAAACGTCACCAAGTAAACAACAATGACAGAGTCATAGCTAGGGACCCTTGGATTCATTATTCATGATCTCTGTAGTAGTATTATCTTTACCAATTTGCGTGTGAGGCGGCAGGCTTCTCTGATGAGCTTTAGAATTTGGGGAAAATAACATTGCCGGATTTTTTTATTTCTACTTTAACTAGGAAGGAGGAGCTAAGTTTTCTGAGTTGGTTTTATTTTCTTCAGAAGTGAATCACTTAGTAGCCCTACTGAACCTGATTTGCGATATAGCATTTAAAATTAATCGTTTGATTAAATGACAAACCATTTCTAATTTTAAAGCCCCAAAGCTTCCTCTGTTCCTCTTTGCGAAACAAAATAAAAACAAGAAATAAACAAAAGTATACAACAGGTGCCTTCGGATGTTTTTTTAGCCTTCTCCAGGCCTCTCTTTGAGTCTGTGATTCACATCATTCGGGCATACCTTTCTTGACCTAGTAGATGTCTATCAGTAGTTGTGTCTGCACCTAGAAAATCCATTGCCCCATTAAGAAGCTGTACTTTTTTCTCTTCAACTTGCTGGGTTCCTTTGACCAGTTCTTCAACTGGTAGAAAATTTTGACACCCTTTGATTTAGTTTGCATTACTCAAACCAGACTTTTTGTTTTTTACCATTGACCGTGAATAAGAATGTTTGTTCCAGGTGCTACCTCTGACACAAAGGTCAGTTACACGAAGTTGATCTTAATGGAACTGACAGTTGAGATACACAGCTATATCTGCAGTACAGATTAGAACGTCAAATCTTGTAAGAGTTGCACCCAGTGTAATGCTCAGTGTTAGATAAGAAAGGAATTATACCTGGTTAGAGAATCAGAAAAGACAAGGGAGAGATTACATTCAAGTTGGGCCTTAAAGAATGGACCAAATCTAGGCAGCCAAAGATGGAAAGGAAAAGGATTCCAGATATAGGAATCAGTGTGAGCCAAAGCCCAGAGGAGAGAAAGCCCAGATTAGTTACAGTGGGCGTGAAGGACTGGAGAGGAAAAAGAAAAAAAAAAAAACCCAAAAAGTCTGTAGCCTGTTTTCAAGGGGGAAGGAGGAACCAATTTTATAATGTAGCAAGAGCTGTGGTTTGGAGGATTCTCTGCCCTTGTTGTGTAAAATGGTTAGCAATGGAGAGATCTTGAAGACTTAGGTCTTAGGCTTCCTAACTAGAAAGAGGCAAGTAAAGCCTACAGTGCTAGAGCCCAAGAATTTAAGGTTTGAAGCAAAGGAAAGGAATCGGAAAATGTGAGGAAGAGAAAAAGGTCATGTAAAGACATGTAGTTTTCAAGTGTTAAGAAATGTTATTGCATGAACCATTGAAACACTGGCAACTTAGAAAGCACGCTTGTCAGAGAAGATAAGCATCATTCTATTTTTCCCCTTTGCTCCTCATTTTCCCTGTCTCTAAACACAAAAGCAATCCTAGAAACCACACAAGCTTAGAGACTTTTTCAAACCAAGAGGTAGAATTTACTTATATTCTCTTTAACCCCCCTGAAACAGCTCCTCCTAACCAAGATCAGATAGTCTTCTCAACGTAAACCTCTGGTGGCCTGGGCAAGAGCCTCCATAATTGGCTCAGCACCTGTAGCTCAGTGTGTAGGGTGCCAGCCACATACACGGAAGCCTGGTGAGCTTGCCTGGCCCAGGCCTGCTAAACAACAATGACAACTGCAACCAAAAATATCTGGGCGTTTTGGTGGGTGATTATAGTCCCAGCTATTCGGGAGACTGAGGCAAAAGAACCCAAGAGTTAGAGGTTGCTATGAGCTGTGACACCACGAGACTACCAAGGGCTACATAGTGAGACTCTGTCTCCAAAAAAAAAAAAGTGCCTTCATAATCAGATCTCCCTGTATACCCAAGCACTCTGTCCCAGGTCCTACAGCCTAACAGTGGGGGCAGGATTGCTGGCTTTGGAATGCTACCTCGGTCTCCCCAAGTGGTAGGATTACAGGTGTGAGCCACAGTGACCAGCCGTCAATAAATACTCGTTTTCTCCAGTAAGAGAATGAAAATAATATGAAATACAGAATTAACAGTAAACATAGTACATGAATTCAGGGACTATCTTATTTTTTCCCTCCTCCAATGTTTACTTTACAAATTTTCTCGTGAAAGCTGGAGACAATGAATTATTTGGAAAAAAAAAAAACTAAGGATATCAGTGTTCAATAGAAAATTTTTTCTGCTAAGTCTCTTTCTAGATAAAGAAGAAAGGCTCTGTACCTGTATTGTCACTAAAAACACAACCTCTTTAAACCTTGGTAACCTAGCTAAAATTGTATTGGGAGTAGACAGAGAAGTAGGATTGATTGTATACCTTAATAAAGATAGGAAAGAAAATAGAATAATGTGACTGGAAATGCATGTCATTCTTATGTTCATTTTTGGTATAATATAGCAAGATTATGATAGAATTAATGAAAAATCCTGAGTAATTTTTAGATCCTTATGAAAGTTTGAGGGCAGTTACAATTCACAAGTGATATTCTTCTTCCTTTATATGTGCTTTAAAATTTTTAATTGCCAAGTGCAGTGGCTCAAGCTTGTACTCCCAGCTACTCAGGAGGCTGAGAGAGGAGGATCACACAAGCCTAGGAGTTGGAGTCTAACTGGGAACACAGCAAGACAACGCCCCATCTCAAAAAGAAAAGAAAGAAAGAAAATCTCAGTGATAGTTTAAAAAATTTTTCTCTCAATTAGATTAAGGTAGATTTTATCTTTGCCATTTTCTGATGTGATTAACATATGAACAACTTCCTTGTTCATGAGTTATATCTAAGAATACAATGTTTTTAGACAATGAGAAATTAGGTAAATAGGAGCAATGATATTTTCTAAAAAATTGAAAGGTTGAAATCTTAACAATGTACCCTCCATAAGAGGTCATCTTTTCTGTTTTCCTTCATTCAGAACTATTCAAAACCATAGAGTCTTGTTTTCACTGCATAGGCCAAGAACTTCTAACAAGATTTCTTTATTAGCCTTCATTTCAGAAACAGTTGGCTTTTGTCCTCTTTTTGTCACTGCTTTTGTATTAGCTAATTCTTTTTCCGCTAGATTTTGAACACTTTTAGGATGGAGATTTTTATATTATCTAATTCCAGGATAGATGAAGCTGTTCAAATAAGTGGTATATTTCAACAATAACATTGGCAGAAATGGTCAATTTAAATATCTCAGAATAAATATATTATTGTCTTGATCATCACATGAAAAATAATGACTGCCAATTCTCTGGTAGCAGAACAAAAGCTTATTTTTAGGTCATTGATTATGCATTTGCACTAAACTACCCCTTTCATACCCTTTTTTGAGATAAACGAGAAGTTCAAGACAAAAATTGTTCAAAAGACTTTATGTTTATAAAACTAACTGGCTGTTAAGGTTTATGTATACTTAACGCCTGTACTAAAGTAAACTTACCAGTTTCAGTCATGTTATGTTTAGCAGAGGCCACTGTGACTGAAAATCAAGTAGGATGGCTTATTCACTAAGATAACTGAACAGAGAAAGTAGGAGGGATCAGAATGGAATTACTGACCAGCAGGTCAAAAATTGGTTTAGGTAATGAGCAAACCAGCTAATGTTAGAATATTATACAGCCATTCATAATGATTTTCAAAGTATTTTTCATTTCATTTGAAGATCCTTTTACTATGGCAGGATTACCTAACCCCAGCACTATTGATACTTTGGACTGGATAACTCTTTGTTTTGGGAGATTGTCCTGTGCATTATAGGATGCAGTTATTACAGCCAAAAACAGTTCCAGATATGGTACTAACATATGTCACCTAATAAGCAAAATTACCACATGTTGAAAACCACTAGTAAAGTATAAAGGGGGAAAAAATATATGAGAAGGACTGATGCTAGAAGTATTCTGTCTCATATGGTTACATGTGGCTATTTAAACTTAAATTATGACTCGGTGCCTGTAGCTCAGCAGCTAGAGCACCAGCCACATACACCAGAGCTGGTGGGTTCAAATCCAGCCCGGGTCTGCTAAACAACACTGACAACTACAACCAAAAAATAGCCGGGCATTGTGGCAGCTGCCTGTAGTCTAGCCAGGTGTTGTGA